ACTTGGCTCAATATAATGTCAACTAGGATGCTTACTACAGACTAACTTTTATCGATACACTATATTATTTTTGTTTACATGAAATGTACACCTTGTACATAGCTCTCAGGCATTTGTTTCCAGAACCATACACAGACCTAGCCCTTCCTCCCAGTTCCTCCAGTCAGGGTTCCCTGGAGGTAGCTTGGATCAGCAGTGGACTGCAGTTTTAATGGGGATCTGCCAGCCCCCACCCTGTAGAGGAGACCGCACCATGTCCCATATGGCAACACCTCCACACTAGACCACTAGGCCTGGAGGCCTGAGGCCACAGGCTCCTGGGTTGAGCTTAGTTTCCCCCTGCCTACACCTCTTGTAGGCAGGAAGTAGAGCTGCATGCGCCGGGGCGCTCCAAGACATTTCCCAGGGACGGAAGGAACTTTGTTGGTGTGGCCCCCACCTCTTTCCCATCCCTTCCCGTAGATTTCTGAAGAAAGCTGAAGGCAGAAACTGGCTGCAGCCAGGTAAAAAGGTAAAGCCCATGGGGTCTGAGAGCTGCCCCATGTTCAGGGTCTGTGCTAGGCCTGTGGCCCATGGAGAGGGCCCCTCAGTGGCCCAGGATCCCCACCAAGTCCTCTCTCAGACCATAGAGTCTCGGCCCAGCCCCTCTTCCACTCCAGATGCCTCTAGTGGTCATGCAGGGGGCCCCGATTAGGGCTTAGCACTGGCCTCCTGCCACAACGCACTGGGCATCCCTGATCCCAACCTCGGACAACCACCATCCCAAACCCGAGGAGACGGTAGACCTTGAGATTCTGGGACGGGGAGGGAGGAGTAGGGTGTGCTGAAGCCCAGTCCCCGGGACACTCACTTCACCACCCCTCACCTGCCTCTAGACCTTCCCAACTGGACCCCTGAAGTGTCTTCAGTCCTTTTCTGATCTCTCTAGTAGAGACACAAACTTCCCCCTGGAAGGGGCTGGGGCCATGGGAAGCAGGGAGGAGAGCGTTTGGTCTCCCCCATCCCTCATCTTAGACACTGACAATGTGAGAACTTCAGGGATCTCAAAGCACTGACAGGGCCTCTGGGTGATCACTGGAGGACAGGCTTGTGCTGCTCTTCCCCCAGGATTTGTCTCTTCAGGGAGACTTCAGCTGCTTTCGAGTTCTCGACTTCACATCTGAATTCCCGTCTGTGATTATGCAAGTATGTGTGTGAGTGAGTTGGCGGGGGGAGTCTTCCTGGTAAATGAGTCCAAGGCCTTCACCAAAGGGGCATCTCTCTATTTCTGATTTACACCCCAGCCCTGCTAATGTTTTTTTGTTTTTGTTGTTCCTGCTAGGCAGAGTCCAGGGAACACAAAGTGACACGCCCAGCCCTTTTTCTCTTTAGTTTCCTTCATTCAGCCTTTTTTGGTGGGTTTTTCCCCCTCAGCAGGGTTTCATTCCTAGGGCCCCAATGCCTCAACATCACTGCTATTGTGGATTACAGACACACACTACCGCACCGCCTTGCTTGCTTTCGTTTTCTAAATTTCTCCTGGCTGACTGGCCATTGGTGCAGTCCTTAACTGACTGCTACGACACTCTGTGGGGTCACTGGTGGCATCACTGCGGATGCCAGGCACAACAGTATCCCTTACAAATGATGCAGGAAGATGTGAACACTTGGCCTCACCGTGTTCATCGGAATTTGTCCAGAGATTCTATAAACTTGGGGGGAACAGCATCTCATAATTAAATTGTGATCAGAGCTGTCTGAAGCCTAATGTCACCTTGCCCACAAGCCTGCCGTGACATGTGGAAACAACTCTGTGTACCTCGGGTCACAGGGGAGACCTCTAGGGTCCAGAGATGCTGTGATGCTCCCTGGCAAGATTCCATGGCCTGAAGACATCCTGGTTCTTTGAGAACCAAATAGTAATAAAAAAGAGAGAAAAGTTTTTCCTGGGGGAAGGACACATTACTTATTAGCCTGCTGTCTCATTTCAGCTGCTACTATAAGAATGCTTGGCCCAGCTCACCGTGCTCACCCTCCTAGGATCCCCATAACACTAAGAGCCTCATCACCCTAAGGCTGCCCTCTGGATCGTCCCGTACTGCCTCCGATCCTGGTGTGCAGCCCATATATAACAGCTAGCCCAGAGCGTCTTTGTCTCTGCCCATTCTGGCCTGAACCCCCAGCCCCCATGGACTAGAGTGTGTGTCCTTGGTCTTTCTTTCTTTCGCCTTAGCCACAGCCCTATCTAGGTAGATCCTGTCTAGGCCTGTGATAGGTGTAACTGCTTTTCCTTTCTGCCATTGAAAGAGGTTCAGGAAAATAACCACCCTGGTGATCTTTAAATCACTGAAAAGAGCAAAAGGAGAAAACACATCATAAGAGCGAGGATGTGCCCTGGTGATGACTGTCACCACTGAATGATGCCAAGCACAGCTGTCTGGGCTGGTCGGGACGGGCTGAAGTGGCAGCAGAGGACAAGGTATGGCGTGAGAAGGGTGCCACACACAGGTTAATAAATCTGCATTCCAGGACCAGGTGTGTCACAGCTCAGTGCTTCGATGCCTCACAAGCTTGTGTCGAGTCTGGCCCTGATCAGCAGCAATGCAAAAAATTATGTGGCGGGGGAGGACTGTGATTTGATGCACATTTGTGAGTTTTAAGTGAAACGTTTTTATGTCAACCCCCTCGGGCCTGGTGCAGAGCAAACATTCAGGGGTGGTAGCTGGTACTGGACTTTGCTGAGCCCCTAGGGAGGCTGGGCCAGGGGCATCAGACACTTATATTCAGGCTCTCTGACAGACCCCAGGGTAAGAGGACAGCCCTAGGCTCCAGCTTAGGACAAGGCCTGAGTTGGGATTCCCCATGTCCCTGAGCTTCCTGGGTGCTGTCAGGAGCATCACTTTCTACCCTGGGCTTCAGAATCTTTCAAACTTCCTGTGTAGCTTCCCTCTGGAGTTGCAGCGCTCTCTCCTGGGGAGTCTGGGTTTCACATGGACATGAATATCTGGGACTTACAGCCCCAAGTGGCTCTGCTGAAGGTCAGTGCCTCCCTGATGTGGGCACATCTTGGTTGTGCCTGTGGGGGCTGCCCCAGGTCACAGGCTGTACAGGCTGGTGCTGAGCTGCAGAGACACCGAGGTGCTCATGGGTTCAGAAGGAGGCTCTCCACCCTGCTTTGAGCCCCCATGCTGCCTGGAGCTTGGGGGAGCCTTATGCACCCTCCCAGGGCTTCCCAGCACCTGTGCCTGTCCCTCTGTGCACAGGGACACTGCCCTGCCCTGTTCTGGCCATGGCACGTAGGCACATTTTTTCCTTCCTGGCCCCCGAAACCTGTTTTCTTCTGAACCAGGTGATTCAAACCCATCTGCATCTGCAATCCAGATGCTGAACACAGTGTCAGTATGTGGTGTCCCTACATTACAGGTCTGGTCCTTTTCCCTGTGGCTTCTGTCTCCTGTGTGCTGGGCTAAGACACCTTCTCCCAGGCCTGTGCTCTCCCTATAGTCTCTGCTCCTCTCTTCAGGCAGCTTGGTCCCTGGAGCTATGGGTTTTCTTTGGGACTTCCACAAAGAGGCTACAGGGTGAGGTCTGGTGCGATGGGATGTTGTGGGAAGGAGCTTGGCCTAGGCAATCCTTGGGGGAGTCTTCCTGGAAGTGGAATCAACACCTCATATGTCTCCCTCTAAACAGAGCCAGGATGAGTCAGTGGTCCCATGTCCCTCACTGAGAGCAAGTGAGTGTCTCCTACTCGGGCAACACTCCCTAGGGTGTGGGCTTGGGCAGCGACTGCCCCTGGGCCTCTGCCCCATGCAGCTACTTGCACCCTGACCCTCTGTCTCCATCCCTAGGAGGGTCTCCACTAAGCTGCAGAGAGAGAAGAAAGAGGTACCGCACAGTGGGGCCAGAAGTGGGGAGAGGGGACGGACATTTCGGTGATGGATGGGCCTGAAGTCACCAGTCCCTCCCTGCTGACTGTGCCCTGTGCCTTGGGCAGCTGAGGGCATTACAAGAGGTGTAGGAGGAGCAGGATAGGAAGATCAAGGATCTGGACATGAAACTGACGGCCCTGAAGGCCGAGATGGCTGAGTGAGGACAAGGGTTGCCTGGGAGTTGGACCTGGACCCTGGCTGGGGTGTGGCTTACACTGACCCAAGGAGTGAGGTGCATTCAAGGGCAATGGGGCAAATAGAAAGGGCTCTGTGCCAGGAGCCAGCAATCCTGTCATCTATCTGAGCCTCCGTGACACCATCAGCTAGAAGGGGGGCTGTGCCCACTGCCAACCCCACACGAGAACGGTAGGGGAAAGCGCTTTCTCAACACCGGCCTCCATTGGGCAGGAGAAGTCATTCATGAAGAAGCCAAGGTTTGGGGCAAGGAGCCTGAACTGAGGGCTGAGCACTGAGAGGCCCACAGCTTTACTACTACTTCCCTTCTCAGTAGCGTCCCCAGCCCTGCAGCCCCCAGCTGGGCCCATTAAGGAAGAACTTCGCATAAAGGAGGAGCTATGAGAAATAAAACAGTTTGCACAGATGCAGGACAGTATCGTAAGGCCACTGCTCCCAGGTCTCCTCCCTTCCCAGTACAATAGGGCACAGCAACACAACCATCTGGGTCCTTCTCCCCACAGTACAAGGAGGGCTCCTCAGGTCACAATTGGGAAGATGTCCTGGGAGACAGAGCCCTGTGGGAGCATCTGTTGGAGACAGGGGTGAATCTCCATTCTGCCCTGGCCCATGGACACTGAGGCGGGGATCTGGGGACCAACTCTGTTGGTGGCACTGATTCCCATTCCCTGTAGAGCAAAAATAGCATCAACAAGGCCAGCAGGCTAAAGAGAGAGATGGGTGAGTGGGGACAAGAGTGGCTTTGGAGGAAGGCAGGGTCTGGCTGTGCATGTGGCTTAAACTGCCCCAAGGAGTGAGGTGCATTCAAGGGCACTGAGGCAAACAGAAAAGGATCTGTGCCAGGAGCTGGCCATCCTGTCATCTGGCTGAGCCTCCGTGAAACACCTGTCTGAATTCTTAGCTGTGGAAAGAAGCACTGTGAACCTGTGCCCACTGCCAACCCCACATGGGAACCCTAGGAGAAACTGGCTTCAATACTGGCCATCATCTGGGAAGGAGAAATCTTTGGTCATGAAACCAAGGTAGATCTAAAAGCCAGGAACTTGGAGGATAAAACATGGTTGTAGTGCAAGTGCCAACAACTAAGAGGCAGCTGGAGCTTGTTTCTGTGCAGCTCAGTGCCCAGAGAAAGCAAGCTCCAGGCTGTGTCTGAGAAAGCTGGGGGGCAGGAGGAGCGGCTGCACAAGCTGGACCTCAAGGTTGTGTTGTGGGCCAAGAAGGGAGAGAACAACAGCATCCTGCATCCCACGCAGAGCAAGCGTAACACCACAAATGGATCACTCCTGCACAACCGTGAGCTCAAGGAGGATGGCCTCCAAGGACTGGCATGTGGGCATTGCTGGCTGGGGCTCAACATGTTCATCTGCATTACTGCTTCTGTTGTGTGCAGTAGAAAAGCTCTGACAAGAGACAAGCAGGCAAAGCATTCCACAATGGGCTTGGTAAACAGGTACATCCACTGGAGGAGCCTGTCACCCACCTGACAAGGTGAGTCACCACTGCCTGGGCTGCTGGGGATGGGGCTTCAATGGCAGTAGAGGGTCAGGGATCGCGTGAGAACGGTCAGGTGCAGGGTAAGAAATCTGCATTTGAGGGCCAGATCTGTTACAGCTCAGCGGTCGGGTATGGGACAAGCTTATACCAAGCCCTGGGTCGCATCAGCAGCTGTGCCATTAAATACGAGGGGGGATCAGACGCACACTCCTGGTGTTGAACTGACGCCATTTTGTGTCATCTCCTCGGGCCCCGCACAGAGCAAGCATTCAGTAAATGGTAGCTGGTATTGGATTTTGCTCAGCCTCAAGGCAAGCCAGGCCGGTGAGAAGAGCCACTTACGCTCAGGCTCTCTGACAGACCCCAGGGTGTGAGGTCTGGGAGGTGGAGGCTTGGCAGGGAGCTGGGCTCAGGCCGCCCCTGGGGGAGTCTTCCTGGAAGTGGAATCCCCGCTCCTATCTTCCTCTCTGAACAGAGCCAGGATGCTGCCAGGGGGCGCAGGCTCCTCCAGGAGAACAAGGGAGTGTCTGCTCGTGGGGCAGCAGTCGCTAGGCTGAGGGGTCAGGGTAGGGCAGGGCCCCTGAGCCTCTTCCCCATGCAGCTACCTGCACCCTGACCCTGTGTCTCCACCCCTAGGAAGTTTGTCACTGAGCAGCAAAGGGTGATGAACGAGGTGCAGCACACTGCACTGCACCCCAGAAGTGGGGAGAGGGGACGGACACTTGGGGGATGGATGGGCCTGAGGTCAGCAGTCCCCCCCTGATGACTGGGCCCAGTGCCTTCGGCAGCTGAGGGCACTGAACGAGGCCACAGAAGAGCATGGCATGAAAATGGAGGAGCTGGAGCAGGGCTTGATGGAACTCCAACAAGAATGGAGTGACTGAGGACAAGTGTGACCTGGGAGTTGGATCTGAACCCTGGCTGGGGTGTGGCTTACACTGACCCAAGGAGTGAGGTGCATTCAAGGGCACTGGGCCAAACAGAAAGGGCTCTGTGCCAGGAGCCAGCAATCCTGTCATCTATCTGAGCCTCTGGGTCCCCAGAGGAGAGAAGGGTGCTGTGCCCACTGCCAACCCCACACAAGAACGGTAGGGGAAAGCGCTTTTTCAAGACCGGCCTCCACTGGGCAGGAGAAGTCATTCATGAAGAAGCCAAGGTTTGGGGCAAGGAGCCTGAACTGAGGGCTGAGCACTGAGAGGCCCAGAGCTTTACTACTACTTCCCTTCTCAGCAGTGCCCCCAGCCCTGCAGCCCCCAGCTGGGTTCTCGGAGGAAGTTGAGATGAAGATAGAGCTCGAAGAATTGAGGCAGCAGCTGGCCCAGATGCAGGACAGAGTCCCACGGCTGGTGCGTGGCCGATGCTCCAGGTCTCCTCCCCACCAGGTCCTTTAAGGCAGAGCAGCACAGTTCCCCTCTCCCCACAGCACAATGGCGCTCTGCAGGCCTCCACTGTGAAGGTGCCCGTGAGGCAGAATCCTGCTGGAGCCTCTGCTGGGGACAGGGGATGATTCTCCACTCTGCCCGCCCCAGGGTCAGCCAGGTTGGCGACTTGGGCCTGGCTGTCTCGGTGCCATTGATTCCCATTCTCCGCAGAGACAAGAAAACATTCAGATCACCATCGCGCTGCATCTCAGAGCGGCTGGAGAAGAAGGCGCTGGCCGGGAAGCTGGGCCCGCTGCAGGATGAGCTGTGTGAAATCACAGCACTGGTAACTCCAGGCCCCTGGGACTATGCAAGGACAGGCGTGCCACCCACGGCAGGGGAGGGGCTGGGCTAGGACTGATCTCTCACAGCTGGGGGACAGGTGACCCCAGAGTCCTGCCCTGTGCTCCTGAGCACTTCTGTGACTGCTTCCTCTGACAGGTAGTGGTGGGTGGGCCTGAACTCCGCCCGGGTCCTGATGCCACTGTCCCTGCTGGGGGCCACAGAGCCCTGAAAGTAGGAAGATTCAGGATGGGCGGGGAGGCTCCTTGGGTCTCAGAAGCTCTGTGCCTTACATCGCCAAGCCTGGGTGCCCGTCACTTGGAAAGGGTGCTGGCATTGTCCTCCAGACCTGGTGCACGAAACGAGACAATGCGTGTGAGGTACGGGGTGCAGGGGAGTGCTTAGTGCCTGTGGGTCGGCTTCCTCTGATTCTCCACAGCTGTGGTCTGAAGTCCAAGTGCTGGGAAAGGAGGCCCTGGCTTGAAGATGGGTGCAGGAGGTCAGTGAGTCTGCCTGCCCCCAGCACATTTACAGCGGAGGAGGCCCTGCCAAGCTGACCTCTGTTCACGGGCAGCTGGTGATGCAGCCGCGACACACAGAGACTAAAAAGAAGGCCCTGGACAGTCTCTGCAAGGAGCTGCAGGACACACAGGTGATGGAGCTGCTGAGCTGGGCCCTGTGTGGGATGTCCTCGCTGCCTCTGACTTCATGCTTTCCATGCTGCCCACAGGAGGACCTGGAAGCCTCCAGGCTGCAGGAGGAGCAGGCAGCCCCGCTGAGAGTCCTGGCCCTGGCTGGGGCCGGTGAGCGGAGCTGCCCATGGCAGGGTGGGCTGAGGAGCGCCCTGACACTGAGTGGAGCTGGAAGAGACCTCTGCGGTGCAGCTCATTCTCCCCCAGAGGCCGATGGCCCAGAGGGACCTGGCAAGGTGGGTGCTGAGAGGACCTGTGTGTTTTTTGCCTCCCTTGTGTATCTCTCTGGGGACTCTCCTGGCTGGTCCCAATTTTACATGAAGGGGGACATGGAGGAAAGGAATTTGGAGACTCCTGGGTCCAGCACCACCACCGATGATACGGGCTGCTGCAGGCCACGGTGAGGTACGTCCCACTCTGCCTATTCCCCATGTGTCCTCTGCCTCCCACTGTGGTCCCTTTGGACCTCCCCATGCCTTGGTTTCCCCACCACCTCATTTCCATGGACCTCACTCCTTCCCTGGGAAGCCATAGTCAGATACCATCCCCCAGGAATAACAGGTGCCAGTGATCGACTGGAGGCCCCTTCTGGTCCTTGCATGCCCCTCAACTGGAGCACTTCACGCCCATATCTTATGCCACATCTGCAGATGGCATTATTTAATGAAGACCCTGCAACTGCCCAGGGACCTTAGGCAACAGAACGGGCTATGCCAGGGCCTACTCCACCTGGCAGCCCTCACCCAGGACCAACCTCAGAAGGAGGCTCCCATCCCGAGAAGCAGTGGTGACCGCTGGGCCCTGTAGAAGCTGGAGGTGAGTCTGTCCTAAGGCTGGCCAGGGTAGGCAGGGCAGGTGATCACAAAGCCCTGACCCTGTTGTTCTGGCTCTTGCCTCAGGGACAGTTTTGTGGCTGGTGCTACCTTCAACAGAAAAGCCTTGGGAAATTTTTGAAGGAGAAGAGTTTTGGCGCTCTCTCTCTCTCTCTCTCTCTCTCTCTCTCTCCCTCTCCCTCTCT